TCAGTTGGAAGAGCATTGGGCTAGTATTCCAAAGGTCGTAGGTTCGAATCCCACCGTGGCCGGGCATATTTTTCAAGCTCGCCCGGTGTGGATCTGCACTCAGAGTAACATCACAAACATATTATGCCAAGTCGTTCACAATATTTACGGACAATAACCCATTGACATACGTGTTAACGTCTGCGAAATTAAATGCAACAGGGCACCGTTGGGTCGCAGAATTAGCGGACTACAACTTTACCATCAAATATAGACCTGGAGCAGCAAACAAGGACGCAGATGCCTTATCGAGAATGCCAATGGACATAGACGAATATATGAAATTGTGCACCAAAGAAACTTCGCAAGACAGCATACAAGCGTGTATGATTGGAATTCAGGCACAAGAACCGTGGATTACTGCGATCACAGCAAATACCGAGGTACTGAACACAAGCGAATTGATACCCGAATTAAGTGCGCTACAAAAATTGGACCCTAACGAATTTATTCGAGCTCAAGACAGCGATCTGTGCATCGGGAAAATCCGCATGTTAAAGGCAAAGAACACATACCCAACAGAGGAAGAGATAAACCGTCTAACACCAGAGGCTAAAACTTTGCTGAGAGAATGGAAAAGATTAGAAATAGGAACTGACGGAATATTGAGGAGAAAACGAGGACCAGTGATGCAATTGGTGCTGCCACATTGTTATCGTATGACAGTTTACAAAGAGCTTCATCAGAATATGGGTCACCTGGGAGCTGAAAGAGTAGTTGAGCTTGCAAGGGAAAGGTTCTTTTGGCCACACATGCAAAGGAACATTACGCACTTTGTAACCAAGGAATGTAGCTGTGTGAAACAACGAGCTCCAGCAAAGAAAATGCGCGCCCCATTGCAAATATAACTACTTATGCGCCACTTGAACTCGTCTCAATGGATTTCCTACATCTTGAACGAAGCACTGGCGGGTACGAATACATTCTCGTAATAGTCGACCACTTTACTCGTTTCGCACAAGCGTATCCAACCAAGAATAAAGAAGCGCGAACTGCCGCAGGAAAACTGTACAACGATTTTATTCTTAAATACGGATTTCCAAGCCGGATTCTACATGATCAGGGACGGGAGTTCGAGAATAAATTATTTCATCAATTAGAAAAATCGTCTGGGATAATTCGATCGAGAACAACACCGTATCACCCACAAGGCAACGGTAAAGCAGAAAGATTCAATAGAACGCTTTTGTCCATGCTAAAGACACTGCCAGAGAATCAGAAAAGACGATGGGACCAACATGTCTCGAAAGTTGTCCACGCATATAATTGCACGAGAAATGATGCTACCGGTTTCTCGCCATTTTTCCTACTTTTCGGTCGTTCTCGAAGATTACCGATAGATTTGATGTTTGGTTGTAACAAAGTTGAAGACAGACTCAACCACAAAGATTATGTGAAAAAGTGGTCTAGTGCAATGAATGACGCTTATACTTTCGCCAGCGAACATGCTACTAAAAACAGTTCAAAAGGAAAGAGACATTATGATAAAGGTGCGAGATATTCTACGTTAAAGCCTGGTGATCGTGTACTAGTAAGGAATTTAAGTGAACGGGGTGGTCCTGGGAAGTTGCGATCGCACTGGGAGAAAGACATTCACATTGTTGTAAATTGCACGCCGGACAGTCCCGTGTATGAAGTGAAACCAGAAGCGAAAGACGGAAGGAAACGATTACTTCATCGGAATCTTTTGTTACCGTGCGATTTCCTACCACTCACACCGGAACTACCAGAAAAAACAATTCCAAAATCCGTTGAAAAGAAGGGTAAAGGCCCAATTGAAACTGCACGCAGAACAGCAGAACAGTGTGAAAGTGATAGTGCATGATGACTCGGAGATTTTGATTCAAATATTACCTGAACAGAGAAATTTTGAAAATGATTCATTACAAGGAAACGAAGCGGTTGATCGAAGTGAACCTAATACGGCGGATCCAGCAGACGATATAGCGCAAAACGAAGCTGCAGAGAACACTCAGGAGCCTAACCTGAACACGCAGCTGGAAGAGCAACAAAATGAAGAACCAATGCAACCTGCAACCGAATCCCCACCTGCCCCACCAACACGACGGAGTACGCGAGTAAGGTATGCACCAAACCCTTTAAATTACAACCACCTTGGAAACCCAGAACAATTCGTGTCGTCAGTTAATGCAACACCAACCTTTTCCCCATTTACCTATCCACAGAGTTACCCACTGCCGCCACCGGCGCCATTTATTCCACCACCATGGTTCTCTCCGTGGACCCCTCCATTTCCTCATCCCTTCTACCCTCCAGTAATCTACCAATGTCCGTGCTGGAACTCACATTATTTGATGCCCTTTAACATGGGTTACTAGACGTTTAAATTTATAACAATTATTAGTATTTGGTTTATGAACTTTACGATAATAAGTAGGTGTAAACTACTTTAAAACCTGTTACAGTGGGGGACGTGACCAATTTAGATCACTCTGTCTTGGGTACGCTGTAGAAAGACAGTCACGTGACGAAGCAGCATGCTTGAATTTTGTACTTTTTACTAGCTTTATAAAAACGATATTTAAACCGACAAAATGTAGTATTTCGCGTAATAGTTGAACGGGTAACATTACGTGCGAGTAGGGTTTCGTTTTTATTATGCTCCGTTTACACTATACCGGATTGCTATCGGAGTGGGTCAAATTTTGTAGGTATCGAAAGGCTGTGAAGATTTTTAATCTCAGAGACCCAAATATACATGCCAATTCTGTCAAACTAATAAGCACTTGCTACTAGCCATTGCTCCGTGACGGCAAAAGAAGATGTAGTGAACGGCGAATCTGGTATAGTGAAAACACGGCCTTATAAGAGTTGTGTTTATTGCTTGTGTGTACATCTATAACTGGCCGTACAAACCTATCCAACGCATAAGCTTTTTATAAATGGCCATATCTTTCAAATGAAGCTTTAGTATTTACAGGGCTTATGATTGGAATTGTAGCTAAAGTATAGCGCTATCCGATAAATAGCCTTGTTTGTACAACCCACGACCCCCCGTTTTTAGGTATTCTTTTCTGGTGGATTATTCTATATCACTGGGTAA